CCTGGCAGGCCGCCGTTACCCTCCCCCTGATACAAGAACTACTATGTATAACGTCATGAACAAACAGAAAACATGAAAAGCTATTTTCCTACGACGCGCTCACTTCAAACTGATTCAGATGGATTCTCTTTCTTTTCGGACGTATTGTATTCACTCTCATGGCTATTTCATGCGAATATTGTTCTATTGATGACTTTTTCTCATTCACTTCGTCTCATTTCATGTCATTGTTCGAATCAATTTCTCATTCAGTAGCATATACTATTTACTGAATACTTTGACGAGTGTTGACAGCCAAAGCCAACAATACAACAATCGAATGTTATTGCTGAACAGTATTCAATAGTTGAGCGATCAATTATGGAGTTTATTCAATAGAATGAAAATTTGAATTAAACTGTTGAGTGAAATGAATGAGAAATTAGCAGAAGAGAACAATTTTGGTGATAAAAGGTATGAGAGCGATTATAACACATCGGAAAAGAATGAAAATCTTGTTAAAACGAGCCAATGATACTCAGAGAATGATGAATGTTGCCATCAACTAACCGCATTTACACAACCGAGTTAAAAAACCCCCTCACAATGGTGTAATGGAGGGGGTCGGGAAATTAGTATTTCGTGCAGTTGTTATGTTTTGATTGAAAAACATAACAACTGCACGAAATACTAATTTCCCGATCCCCTCCATTACCTCTGACACCTCCAGATTACCCAAAATGGGTAATTTCACCCCCTATGAACACCACTGATTTAAGAAGACTTGAATGATTTATCATACTTGACCCGGCGTTTCAAGATAACCTACAATAATAAGTGTTTCTACGTGTTCGAAAATTCAAATAATCACTGAAATAATGAAATAATAAAGAAATTCCACATCATACAACCTATGAAATAATGAACCTATGAAAACCTATGAAATAATCACTTCGAAGAAGCAATTTGAATGAAATTCCACATCACTTCGGCATGGCAGCCGTTCTAAATACTCATAGGATGTGTGTTTTCAGTGGTCCGATATCATATTCATCAAACTACTTTTGCTTGAAGATAACAAAAAGGAAATTGAAAATTTCGGTCCTTTTTATGATAACGAAGCCTGCGTAGCTCACATATATCTTTGAGACAAGTACTTTTCCTCGATAGGAACACATTAATTTTCGAGAAATTTCAATCCGCTCAGTCAGAAATATGAGCGAATATTTCTGCCAGTGACAACACTTCAGAAAATATTGCTAACAACTGGAAAATTATGCGAATAAACAATTGCAAATGAGGGTGAAAAGAAAACCTATGGGATAATTGTTGTTGAGCACAGAAACGAAGAGGTAACCTGATACGAGATGATGAACAGAAATGGATGGAATGAAAAGAATCTCTGAAATGTGGAGCAGATCTCAAATGCTATGTCTTAAGAAGAACAATACGAGGGGCACAACATAGTTAACTGATGCATCGAAAAGACATTCACTTCAAAGAAATTGAGAGTGACTCTTGCAACAATGTTCATTTCGTTGCTCATACATATCTACTGAATAATCACATTAATTCATAGGCGTTTCTGACAGACAAATTTATGTGCGTCATTCGAATCCTATAATTTGCTTGTTCTAAGGCATCTTCAATTATATGTTTTAGAGCAGTGTTTGCATACTTCTTCAAGTATACTTCACTTTTATCTTACTAGGAGTTCAGTTCACCAACAATAAAGTATATTTCACCTTTTAGTTTACCACCCCATTGCATCCAAAATTCCTCCGACATTTTCTGATAGGAATGTAGGAGAACAGATAAACAACCTTCACAGATCAATTGCCGAGATCAACAGTGATGATCAATAAGAAAATCTTCTGCTGATATCATAAATCAAGAAACTAAAAATTTTTCGAGATCTCAAAAGTGGAGTCGAACACAATTTCAGAAATATGCTTACCTTCATCTTACATAACTCCCGATCTTCCGAAATTCACTTTCCTATATACCTTACTCGATACCTTATCTCTATTATTATCGAGACAAAGGATAAGTAAGGAATCAACAACACTGTTCTCGAGGAACAACTGAATAAATTATGTTCACTCCTTGTAACGAAATAACAACTCGCATCAAACACAATTTCTCTTAACATACAGAATTTTCAAGCAATGGTATGAACCACGTAATAGATTCGACTCAGCTGGCGATAGCGAAGAAAAATAAGCAATTTCCTTGTTATTGCAGCAGTTACCATGGAATTATTCCGAAGGAACTGAACTGTATTTTGCATACAGCCTAACTAGTAAGACTAGTCGGAATAACAGGAAAACTGAAGGGAATTAATAACTTCTTGAAACGATGCGTTAAGTTGAAAGAATTTTAACAGAAACATAATAACTTCCAACATATGAGGAGAACACTTACCATTCGCAGACTGTTGTGTGAATTTCAAGAGCTTCGTACTTTTATATTTCTATTTTTCATACATTCTCGTACCACTGCAGTTTCGCACTCATTCCGGTTCCACCAATCATGCATACAATTTCATTTATCTCGTTTGCATTCATACCTAATAACGTCAGCAACCATTATGACGAGAATGCAACACTCTTGTTGTTCGAAGGAACTGATCGACTGAATTTTGAATATAACCATAGGATTTGAATGTCTACGAAACAACAATTCATTTCCATTCAGCAGTGTGCTCATGTGTATAGATAATAATTCTAAATTGAACTCGTTTATAGTTAATCCAATTTGGTTTTATGGAATCATTTTTGATTTTTTTCATAATAACCTTGCTATTCCGAGTACAGCTCGAGCGGAAGCGTTTTGCTCGAGACCGAAAAATGCATCAATGCCACCAATGTTATCGAGTCTTTGCTGGGCTACGATTTGGCCAGCGCGTAATTATCTAATCATCATTTTTATTCGGTAATACGAACTTCTCAAGACCATATAATGGTAGAAATCGTATGCATACCATTTCGATATCACTACCAGTACAGATCACAGTCACCGTCAAATCCATCTAGGAAATGTCTCTCCGCGTTCCATCACTGACTGTATCTAAGTGCTCAGTAGATCGCGAATTCCTCATTCCCAAAAACAACTCAGAGTTCATTGCTGAGGTATAATTCAGTTTAAGTCTTAAACAATTTCTAAAACTCGAATTGTTGATTCAGAGGGAATAATTCAGAGCAGCAAGCTTTTATACTGAACCACAATCAGTAAATGTCGAAGGTTACTCACTGATCCTGTCATGCCAAATTTATTTCAATCATGATGAGATGCTGCACAGTTCAGTTCTCCTCGCGCGGGAAGAGTTTGCTCAAAAGCGGCTGGTTTACTGCAGTCACAATGAAACCATCAATGGAATAGCTGCCGTGTTGTGGGCATAATTGGTGGCAATTCTTATTGTGTCAGGGGAGTGATTCATTCAGACAGTCTGCATTTCGATTCTTTTAAGATCATGAATGCAATTACAATTTATATTACTTGACTACGGTAATTAAGTACGACATCTATCAGCGTTTAATATATCTATTACCATAACCATTCACCACCGTAAAATCATGCCTGATATCGCGGAATTCATGACCTCGGCATATGAGAATTGTATAACGCGAAACTGCCATTGAAACACTGAAATAACAAGAAAGTAGAATACACTAACATTATTTCAGTTATATTAGTAGGTCAGTCATAAAAGAGCTGATTCGACTGCTTGTATAAATCCACTTAAATCCGCTGATCTAAATTTCGATCAAAATGTATGTTTCGAAAGTTGACAATGATTTTAATTATCTGTGCTTTCGGCTCAAGAATGGTGAATAAGTTGCACAATAGATACGAGAAATTTGAAACGATCGTGAAGCATGTGAGAATTAAAATAGATTACAACTTCCAAATGCGAAGAATGCCACTTCATGAAAGATCGATATTAATGATATTATCAATTGATTGAATGATTAACGAGACGTTCAACAAGACGGAGAGAATAGCGTTCATCAAATACTTTAATACGACAGCGACATTCTCATTAATTTATCAACAATACTGTGCGAAACATTCATCAATTCATCGATTTCAGAGAAGATTAAACACTTTTTGAGCGAGCACTTGATATGGTCGACATTGATGAAGACCTCAGCGCTTTGCAGTCCGAAAATGAAAATATGGCCAGAATCATTTTCTCATCGGACGCTGTAATTTGACGATAAAAATTGAATTCGATGACATTATCACATGAAATAGAATACTTTAACACAGTTCAATTCTCATGAATATGATATGCAAAGATGAACTTATAGCGAAAAGATGCGGTCACTGATTATGATTACGCAACAACGCACGCACAAATGGAATATTTCGACGACTAAAGAAAACTAACTACCTCAAGAGATCACATGAAAACATTCATCGCTGTGATGATATATTTACGATCAGCAACGCCTAGCTCATCTCTTGCAGTAAGGCAATTATTCGACAGCACCTTTCACTCTTGATTAGGCATTCGTTAACTTGTTTCTCTCAACAACATTTTTCTTACAATTAGGATTTCATAACTCTGTATTTCGTCACTCATTTTTCATGAAACGTTGCAATTAGATACAAATTCATTTCCTCAGACAAACAACTCACCATCGTTGTCTGCAACACGTTTATGTGAGACCATTCCCCTCCAGTTCTGGTTGGAAGTTCATATTCATCATAGACATTGAACTAACGATAAGTGCAGAAAGGATCGCACTGATATTAGTACTTTGTTCTTGTTTCGAATTTCCATTAATAATCATTCTTTTTTTCCAAATTTTGAACTTTTCTTCCTCTTATAGTACTAAACAATACAATAAGCGCAGTTCCTAAACAATGGTTAGGAATCATCGCGTCTCTCGATTCAAGTATGGGAAATACCCGTTCCGATTTATTTTCATGCCATTGACTATATCTGCTTTTGCGCTTCACACTCCGATTCCTTTCCTACGATAAATGCAAAAGGGTATTTAATCAGTGATCCTATGGGAACCCATACCTCTCGTAAACTTCTTGATAAACTTTATTGCGAAACTGCAATTCGTGATGTACATAGAAAATATAAGGTGGAGTGTGCAAAAGGCAAGGTCCCGGGGAGATTTGAACTCCCGTCGCAGGATTCAGAGTCCTGAGTGCTAACCACTACACCACGGGACCGTGATGATACAAAATATGTTCCTGACCTATTTTCGCGAATATTAGGATGAAGCTGGCGGTTCAGAATCATTTTATTGATAATTTCTCAATTTGTTGAGGCACAAATTCTGTTTCTAATGAATACTGACTGAGCAATGTTCCGTTCCGGCACTTTTTCCATATCAATCGCTCGTAACAGCAAAATTCTTTATTGCAACTAGGCATTTTAAGTTACAATTCCGAAAATTCCATAAGTGAGCATCTTATATGAACATTTCTAAATTGAATCAATTTCTATGAAATCTCATTTCGTGGCTAATTGAATTTGGTATCAATCGTGAACGTTTTGCTATGCAAGTTGTCCTTTTCAGTTGTTATGAGTTATGACTCTATTCGTTCAGTTCATTTTATGCGTATATACAAAGCATTTTCTTCCTCTCGTTCTCTCGCCTTTCAACGATCGAGTGCGCGCGTGTGAAAGTGCTTTTTGGCTTGGTTTGTAGAAATCAACCGAATCAACAGAAATGAGCGTGTTGCGATCATCAGTTTCGTTGCAGTCCGATGAGCCTTCATCAGCAGCTGATTCCAGTGAGTCCGACCGAGAGGTTTCTTTCATTCTTGCCTTTAACGTTTTGGGTAATGTTGTATTTCAGGTTGATAAACTCACACTGGCATTTCGTTCGTGCGAACATTTCTTGCTGTGCTCTAACAAAGTAACATAATCAACTGCAAATGTGAACGAAATGCCGTTTTGATTTTACCAACCTAAAGTATAAAATTACCCCGTTTTGTTTAGACTGGAACTTCTTTCCATTGGATATCCGATGATATGCCAATAAATAGACCTATCCGTGTGCATTTTATGACAGCCACACTCAGTTATTCAACGATACATTTTTGAAATATATTCTTTTGTCAGTGTTTGGGTGTTGTTAAGATTTTGCTGTGTTATTAAGGAGGCTCAAGACGAGCAGCAAGCACCAAGTGGTGATAATGAGAACGAAAATGAGGAATTTATCGTGGAAAAAATTTTGGATGAGCGATATAATGCGAAGAAGAAATGTAAAGAATATTTGCTGAAATGGCAAGGATACGGGGACGAGGACAACACATGGGAGCCGGAAAGTAATTTGGTTGGTGCATTTTCAACACAGTTTTCATTTTCACCAAACCCTTTGATCAACTTAATTGTAGAGAGGCTATATCTATAGTGAGTAGTAGAAACTCAAAACTGTTGTCTTAAATAAGCGTTTGATCGAGAGAATGACGATCCAACGAATTGTCATTAATAAGCGGGTAGTTGCGGTGTGTTGACTTCGATGAGGCTGGAGCTTGGAATGTGTATGGATAACAAACTGTCAATAGACTGGCGCTTCTTTGTGTGAGTGTGAACGTTTCAAATTCAGGATTGTGCCTCACTCATTGAAGAGTTTCACCGAGAACGGCTCAAGAAAGCAACTCATGCCGCGTCTGGATCCACTTCAGCAAAGTAAATTTTTAAGAATGTGTTCATATTTGACCGTTGAGACTGTATTGTCAAACTTGAAACCGTTTATTTGATCTCATATACCAAGTATGTATCCATACTCTAGATATTCTAGAGGCACGCAAAAGAGTGATAAAAGGAAGCGACAAAGTGCACAGGTGCCATCGTCGAGAACACCCGAGGTTTGCGTTACACCGCAATTGATACTAAGACAGTCAGTGTGTTCACCGTGTGCGTCGTCAGATCGTTCAGAAGCCTCCGATCTCGAGACGTCATCGAGTGAGAGTGACGACGATACGGAAGAAGCGATGAGACGATGTAAGATCTTTGTTATTGCAAGATTCTGGAAGCAGTGAATGTCTGTCTACTTGTGCTTGTTATAGGTCATCCTGCGCCTGGCGAAAGTGGCATGGAAAAAGGCTGGATACCAGAAATCATTACCACCGTCAGCGTAAGAGTTTAATGTTTTCGAAAGTAATGACATGAATAGCTGCATTCGTCTGTATTTATTGTAACATTTGAATTGAGCGTGAATTGATGGTTTTTGCAGCAAGGCGATGAGAAATATCCGGACTCGTTCGTGGTCAAATATAAACACAAGAAGAAATACGAGTGTGTTCCGCAGGACGTTTGCAAAAATATGTGGCCTCAGGTAGTACGTTTTTACTGTTTGTTGTCGTATCGTTCGCGTTCTTTACCCCAAGCAAGTTATGTTGATAATTCGTGTTTTATGGTTTAAAACAGATGGTTTTATGAGAATTATTGATATTCGGTGGCTTGCATTAGTTCTGAATTATTCCAATTGTAAGCAAGATGTGATATTCTCAATTGTTTCTGCGAGTCGCAATTGTCAGGAGTTTTTACAGACCATTTATGAAACAGTTATTAGAAGACTTGAAATGTCAAAACTTGGTTTACAGCAAAAAGTTATTCGTGAAATTCCGAAATCAAGAAAATATGTTAAAGCTGTAATAGCGAACCAGTGAATCTGCGAATAACTTATTGCCAAATAAAAAAATATCGAACATGAAAGGCAAGGTGCCTTAAGATTATGTTGGATGAATTGAATAAAGAATAGCTGATTCGAATGTGATCATGAATCATTGTTAATTTCAGTTGGTTATCGCATTCTATGAAAGAATCTTCACAAAAGCAACGTGTATATGAGAGGAAGTTCTCCAATTTGCTGCCTCTGGTCATTGCCGTGAATTTTCACTAAGATTTTTTGTGTTATTCTCCTGATATGATGTTGAATACTTGTATCCATCAAATCTCGTTCTATTGTATTGTTTAACTTACAGATGTCTTCAGTTTTACAAGTGCTTTGATACGCTTTCGTGAATTTATTGTGTTGTGCTTTTTGATATTGACTGAAAATTGTGACAAATTTCAGTCGGTCGGTGAAATGTCATTGGTTGAATCTTGAAGAATTAGTTATTATGGTCAGCTGAAAGAAATTATTGCCTTACTCATCAGGTTATTGGCGTTCACGGCACGTCATATTAGGAAAGAACATGCTACGGAGGCTTCATAATGTTGAATTTTGTTTGGCAGATCTCGTGCTGTATTTATCATTGTCTTCAATTTAATATTGATTATTGTTATCGACTTGAATCAATTTTTTGAAAATAAATGGGACGATATTGTTTTGTTCAGTTTCTGTGTGCTTTGAATAATGAATATTCACAAGGTGATAAACTCGACAGGGATTATGCAATGTGCATTTAGAGATATGGCGAAACTACAGTTCATAATTTCATCGAAATTGCTTTAATTGCTGCTCGAAATATAACTTCAGTTAGAAAACAAAAAACTTTGAACAATTGCATTTAAGTTTTATGGCGTGGACATATGTTTAGAGTACCGTCGGTAGAAAAATCTTAATTACGTACAAAAATGCTATTGGAAAGAAATTCAAACTACTCCTGACCTTAAAAAAAATTCAAATTAATTGAAAAGTACAGAAATCATTCAAGAAAATGGAGTAATTTATGAGAATAAAAGCGACAAATTTATTTGACGGTTCACTTTTTTAGTTATTCTGCTCATTGAGCAGTTCAGACGCCATGAAGGGCGCAGGTAGATTGATTTAGATATCATTGCATTTTTATTATGCGTTCGTTATTTAACTGACCAATGGAAAAAGGTTTGGGATGTATCGCTGCTTTCAAACGTCTTGACACAATTTCGAACCGATGCTGTTCTCAAGTTCACCCAATAACACGCTCACCTCTGCGCGCCATCGAATTCAAATCGGTTTCAGAAGTGTGTGCATGTTGTCGAGGGATTTTCCTTAAATTCAGAGAAATATCGGATTTTCTACAGTTGTTTCATGTAACTCCTCACCACGATCTCTACAAATCAATCTAAATATTATCTTAACAATATTAGGGTTACCATCTTCAAACTAACAGTGTCCACAGGTTTGCTCAGCAACGTAGAAATTTCCTCACACTATTAAATTCCCCAGACTCTCTACTTTTAGAAATGTATGCATTTTGTCGAGCGATTTTGTTTACTTTTGGAGATACAACCGATTTTCTGCACATATTCTCAGAACATATAGCAATGTTCTCAATGCTATACGGGTTGCCATGTTCAAGCCTACCGTCTTCTCAAGTTTGCTCAGTAACATATGAATTTTTTGCCTCATTCAATCCAGCTGGATCTTTACATTCATAAAAACACATATTCTGTTGAGCAATTCTTCCATCTTGAGAAGATATGGCTATTTTCCCAATGCCAAAAGGTTTCCTATCCTCAGTCCTACCGTAATCTCTGTTCATATACTACTGATCACTATAGATAAATATATGCATCACTCTAGGGCTAAGGGGGTTACCATGTTCAAGGTAACTGTACTCTCAAGCTTGCCTGGCAACATATGAATTACTTTGCACCATTCGGTTGCTCAGAATCTCTAAGTTCAGAATATCATATATTTTCCCAATAAGTTATGATTAGATGAGGAGATATGGCTATTTCCTCCGTGCTATACGGTTTGCCATCTTCAGGCCTACCGTATGTTCAAGGTTGCCCAGTAACATATGATTTTTTTTGCATCATTCGATCTAGCTGGATCTCTACATTCAGAAAAACATACATTCTGTTGAGCAATCCTTCTATCTTGAGAAGATATAGGAATTTTCTCAGATCTACTTCAATAAGCGTAGTTGCGCTCATCAGTCACATACATTGATCACTATAGAGCAATCAATACGTTATTATAGCAGTATACCGGTTGCCCTCTTCGAACCAACCGTCTAGTAAGGTTTGCCCGGAAAGCTAGGAATTTATTTTCACCATTCGATTCAGCGGAATACCTATATTCAGAATATCATACATATTGCTGTGAAATTCCGCTTACTTGAGGAGATATAGCTATTTTCTTTGTACTACCTCATGGCTATAGGGGTTCCATGTTTAAGCCTACTGTCTTCTCAAGCTTGTTCAGTAACATATGAATTTTTTTGCATCGTTCGATCCAGCTGCATCTCTACATTCAGAAAAGCATATATTCTGCCGAGCGATTTTGCTTAGCTGAGGAGATATAGCAATTTTCTTAGATCTATTTCAATTAGCGCAGTCGCGCTCATCATTCATCTACATCGATCACTATTGAGCAAGCAATACGTTAATATAGCATAGGCGGATTGCATTCTTCGAGCTAACCGTCTTCTCAGGTTTGCTCGGAAACCTATGAATTTCTCTTCACCTTTCCATCCAGGAAAACCTCTAGATTCAGAATATTATAAATCTTACTGAGCAATTTGGCTCAGGTGAGGAATTATAGCTTTTTTATTAATACCATCTCGGGTGGCACCTTCAAGGCTACCGTCTTCTCAAGTTTGTCCAGTAACATATGAATTTTTTTGCATCGTTCGATCCAGCTGCATCTTTACATTCAGAAGAACATATATTATGCTAGTAGTGTCAATTTCCTTCGATGACCAATGTCATTCGTTTTCATCATTACGCTCCGTAACAAGTGCTTTTGTTCATGTTCTGATCTTATAATTCATGCTTACAAACTGCACAGGATTTCTGTCTGACAGAATGATTGTGACTGTAATGAACATTGGCTGTAATATGAAACTCTTCAATGCAGCATACTTTTTCGGATGTTTAAGGTTCATCGAAGGCGAAATTACCAGTTGAACAGCAATCCATATCAGAAAGGTCGCTGTCGACTGAACAATCGCCGGTAAACAGTGTAAAGGTATCTATGCAGAAGGAGTGCCAAGTATCGAGAAGTTCATCATCATCAAGGAGATGCAAACGGAAGAATCGAGAAACATCTTTGAGGAAGGCTGTAAACCGTGTCAAAGGACAACAGAATCTCATCGAGAGTCAAAACAAAAACGCTCGACGACCAAAAGCTGAAAAGTTTCATTTTCATGCGTACTCATTTCGTTCCATTATGCTATTATAACATCAAGCCAACATTCCAGATATATCCTTTCGCACGCTAGGTGAATTGCAACTTGTTGCAATACAATCTTAATTGTTCACGATGCACCTTCAGGCCAAGAGAAGCACAAACGAAGCTTGGATTTGCTGGTAACTTGTCTTCTGATCTAACAACGGAAATTCGTATACCGGCCATTTTCAAAAGACAATTTAAGGTTTGCAAGCATCTTCTTGTAAAACATCTCATATTTTCAAATTTTCGAACAGAATTTTTCAACAGAATCGTCCAGAATGCTAATACCAAAGTTCATAAGTGATCATCGTTATCATCGGCATTTCTCGGACATTCCTTGCTTGATTTCAGAGAATGATGATTTGCTTTTCAAAGAATGCTGGAGTAGTGTATTGCGTTGGTTTTGTAATGCCACTGAATCTTTCAGTTCGGTGTTATTGTTTCGAAATCTTTGTTAGTTGTAAAAATCGACGATGATTCATTTCTGCAAGGAAAACTTCGGCTATGTGATTTCATTATGAAAATTGGTGATAGAGACATAATGAGTAAAGCGGAATTCTATGTTCAAATGCGGAATATGCGACGATCAGAAGAAGAGGTTTCCATCTCAATATGTTGGCCATGTACAATTTTTAACTACTTAATGAGCAGTAACTTATGAAGTTAATGCAATCAATGAATGGTTTATGTGTTATCTGTTATCTCATCTACGATTATAAAGGATACCCGCTGATCTCAATCAATTTATTTTAGACACTTCTATCACACTTCACTCACATTTTCAGTTTACTCTGACTGTTCAAAGACCCCGATGGAACCGTGTAGCCGATTATTTGCCCAACGGATACGACAGAGTACCTGGATATTCATATATTAAAGCTTTATTGTTACAATATCCTGGTGCAGCACTTGGCATGAACATAAAATCTTACAATAGTAAGGTGAACATATTACTGCGTAATTGTGATCCACTTCATTCATATTGATTTTACGTCAAATTAAATAGCCGTTTCCTCACTATATCTCCAATCAACGTTCCAGATCATCCTTTCATGGAATTTCAACAGCGTTTCTTCATGATCAGTGATTTCTTGAAACACCATAGATAATTAGGTGTTTATTCGCATAATTTGTCTACTTGATTCCATTAAGGATCAAATGGCCCAGTGCAACTCGAATGAACGAATAACTGAAAGACATCGTTGAGAAACGTTGTACCCAAGGAATTTCGTTCCTATTATGAAAGCTGGAACACTTTCAATGGGTTTTTGTGTGCCTGAAGGATATAGTAGCATCAGTTTCAGGTCTACATAACACATACGGAGCAATTGAGTATCGCAGTGCAATCATGCCTAATGGGCGATTGTATTGTGGCTGTCGAAGGAACGCCAATTACAACGGTCGCCTGCTGCAACGCATTGATCATCTCATATCTATCGATCAAAAAATTTGTAACTGTCTTCATATGATTGATTTTTGTTGCTTAGTAATAGCTGGAATAATTCATCTAATGATAACATCTGCAATAGAAAATATTCACTTTGAGAATAAGGAAATTATCAGAAGTTAGTAATGACTTTAATTTATGCCACTGTATAAAAGTGAAGTAGCACCTGAACATGGTGAAACTGCGTCTAATTCAAAATGTATTGATTTTAAGCTAAACGCTTGCATATAAATTGATCCAACATTGATTACTTCTGTTTCGAATTGCAGACTGTTCTAACACTGGAAAGGCCTGTGGATGATCAAGCTGTACAAGTGGTTCGTTGCGCGTTATTAGCTGAAAAGAAACCTGAAATCAATGCCAGGTGGATAAGTATATTAACGTTCAGCCTTACGGAACTCTTTGTTCCGAGTGTAAGTGTTCAGAATTGGAGAACAGATTCGTAATGAGGACTGTGTTGTGTCTCAAATCACATAAACCTATCTCGGCAAACGGTTCGTTCTGAAGGAGTTAAAAGTCAACTGTTTAATGGCTCATGTAAGTGCTTATTACAGAATGGCGGCTGATACAACGGAAATCGGACTGCAAGAAGCCGAAAAAGTGCGGCAGAGAAAGTATGTCAAAAAATTACGAAGTATCTACAGGCCACATCAACGAAAATCGAGTGAGTAAGTACCTTTCTTGAAAGTTTCTTCGTAGCATTCATCGAGTAGACAACCGTGAATCTTACGGAATCATGACTTTGTTCATTCTGGAATCATACTAATACTGATTGATTACTGCATCAATGAGCACAATGAAAGAGCGCGTTTCATTCGAACTTCGCGTTTCTCGAATAAACTGATTTCGTTAAACTAGCTGCAGCGTTTCAGTAAAAGGCATGTGCAAATGGCAGAATTATCGCTTTATACGCCAATTACATGTGATCCGTACAATCCAATTCTAATGAAAGCAGTTCCGCCGAAGAGAATGGATGTGTTTTATGCGAATTTGGGTAAACGCGACATTCCTTCAACGTCAAACATCAACAGCTATAAACCGTTGCTTCAAATTACTCAGCCAGCAAACTCGCTGCAAAAAATGTAGCAGAAATTATCGATATGAAAATAGACGGCAATTATTTATTCTCAATGAAATTTGTTATTATCAATTTATAAAAACAAATAATATGAATTTAAAATCCATGTTTCTCCACACAAAGCATTTGCATAACCATCAGGACAACAAGAAATACATTTCTTTATCAGCATCAGAAGTTTACAACAGCTGGATGCTGCATTCGCTTTAAAAATTTGATTGTACAAACCAATGGTTCTCAGAGGTGAAATCACTCATTTTGGGAACTTTGAAAGTGTCAAGGGGAAATGGAGGGGGTCGGGAAATTAGTATTTCGTGCAGTTGTTATGGCAACATTCAAATTACATCCATTTGTCTTTAAATACCGTTTTAACAGGATTTTCATTCTTTTCCGAGGTGTTATAATCGCTCTCATAGCTTTTATCAGCGAAAGTGTTTTCTTTCGCTAATTCCTCATTCATTTCATTCAACAATTGAAGTCAAATTCTCATTCTATTGAATACACTCTATAATTGATCAGTTGACTGTCGAACGTTGTTGTGCAATAGTATTCGTGTGTTGTATTGTTGATTTCGGCTGTCAACTCTCGTCAACGTCATCAGTAAATAGTATATGCTACTGAATGAGAAACTGATTCGAACTGTGAAGTGAAACGAGACGAAGTGAATGAGAAGAACTCATGAAGAGAACGGTATTCACATACAATAGCTATGAGAGTGAATAGAACACGTCTGAAAAGAATTAGAATCCATCTGAATCAGTTTGAAACGAGTGTGTTATAGACAATAGCTTTTCATGCAATCATAATCGACTGCAACAATGAGCATCACAACGGTAGAGGTTGGGAGGGGCTGGGGGTTAATGTCGGCCTGCCAGAACATCAAAACGGGTAATGGAGCACCCGAACATGGGAACCACTGATATAAACAATACAATAATTCACAGTAACATTCGAATAAATCACTTTTGATTTATAAAATAAATTTCAATTTCAACATAAACTTCAAGATTCTCGTTTTTGCATTGATAATGCAAAAGTTCTTCGGAGTGATCTCTACTAAAGGGTATTGCAGTAAATGTTAACAATTCGAATGTACTACTCTATGTGACAGACACTGTTTTAGCTCGGATCCACTGTAAGAGAACAACTTCAACTGAATTCGCGTAACGTAAACAGTAAAATATCAGATAACACGTTTGAAATATTTTAAAATAAACGTTTCGCTTAGTGGCACTAAGATTGGCACAGGGAAAGGTATCGGGATGATTGATGTTATCTTCGAGATATCGTTTTGCTTGAGTTGATCCGCATTTCTCATTCGAAGATCCCCTTTACCAGTGAGATATTTACTCTCATTTATTTTGTCGATCAAGATTTGATCTGCGATTTCATCGACAATTTGATCGCTTTTTGACGAGGATGATAATGCTGCTGGCGAAAGCTTTCTGTGCTGTTTCGTTTGAAGCATATCATCAGTAAGTAGGTTAAGGCTAGTCGATTCTGTAATGAATTCCAGTGGGTGTTGTATTGTTGCCGATGTATTTGGGGTTGAAGTGATATTATGTTCATCGTATGAAATAACGTCGATTTGTGTATCATCAGGTTCAAATTTTGGTTCCACTCCATTTCGTAGACCAGATACAGTTGGTGAGCTGAGCATGACATGGTTTGATGGGAATGATGCGAATGAGCAGGATGGTAACTGTGGTATTAAGCAATGAGCATTGTCGAAATTTGATGGCGGTTGAGTGGGCTGTAGGAATGCAGCAGATGGTGTTGCGTATGTGCCGATTAAGGGAAAGGACAGGGCCATTTGAGTGGGGATTGACGTGAATGACATTGACGACGACGGTGCAATTGCTGAAGGAATTGGTTTGGATTTTGGCTGATTCTTTGGAGAGTTCGACTGAGGTGAAGTGGGAGAGTTCGATGGGATTCGGGCCGACGATGGTGATGCGATCGCATCATGAGAACGTCGTCCTGCTCGGATATCATCCCAGTATCGCTTGTTGAGACGATAGGATGGATGTGGTCGCGGTTCCTTGCGTTTCTTACGTTTCTTATCATGACTGCTCGACCCAAAAGCACCAGTCTTGTTGCTGTCATTTCCGCATATAAGACGACGTTTCATTGAGTTTCGTTTGAACGGCGTTTCAACACGGCTATCATATACTGATGGTTTCTGAAAGTCCATCACTGAAATTTCCCACAAGTTTCTAAGCAAGCCAAACGTCTGTTCATGACTTGAAACGAACAGGTGAATCAAAAGTTCTGTGTGAATCAAAGAAAGAATTATTCAGTAACGAACCGATAGACAAAAGACGGTTTCCTTCTTGAAAATTTCCAGTTTATATGCATCCAAACATCTCATAGAGCAGAATCGTAGCACACTGCTCTCGCCAGGCCACTTCTCAATAACTTCGGCGTTTTGCTGCAACCAGAAAACTGCTGTCTTGTGAAAATTTATTTCTTAATTTGTGGAAATAGTCGAATGTTATCCAACAGCGAAATGGGGGCAATACGATTGATTTTTATTTTCTTCTCAACACAAGTGAATTAAAAATTTCATGTGATTTGCTACTTGATGGAAGCCTGAAATCAACGATAGATAGGGACGTTAATCATATTCACAACCAGAAACTGAATTGGCAATGTATTGTTATCTTTCTTCATCTCAACTTAATCAAAGTTGACAACACCACACTTTAATCCTTAAGCAAGGCTGTGAATATTCCATTACATTCTATGCATGGCACAAAACACCATCTTCCAAGGTAAAACAAGGTACAGTTCGGTCAACATGAAAAAATGAGAGCGATTCAAATTGTTCGGGGAGATGGAGCGTTGCTTCGAAACCGTGAAAATAAGATCTTATCACAAGCGAGCTCTGTGCACATGCTCTTCTCGCTTTTTTCGTTTTCATGTGACATTGTCAAGCTGCTACCAAAGGTTTTATTCCATTAACTGCTGAATGTTGCACAATAACCGAGTGAAAGGCGAGTGAGCAAAGATCATCTATGATAAGGCTGTACGGAACAAGAAACTGTGAATTAGGATCATAAGTGAACACATCTTATGTAATTGAATAAAACGTGAGGAGTTTGTTTTGTTGTCATAAACGTTGGTGGAGCAAAACATTTTAGACGGTTTCAAATTTCCGAAACATTATACTCAGGTGTATATAGAGGGAATATTGGATGAATAGATAAAGAATAACTGTGCAACATGAGTCGTCAAATGTAATCTGATCCCTACAATGTGCTCTAGTGATCGAAGGTGGTATCAATTAGTGCACAGCTACGAAAAGCAACGTTTCCTACACCTACTGCTTATCCTCCTGCTCGGAATAACATAATTTCAAAACGGTATACTCTGTGTATGATCCTCCCTTATTCTCAAAACTAAATTTAAAAGCTCTCAAAAAAATTTTTGTATATTAGCCACTTTTGCTTGTTTCTGCTCTAAGTTGGGAGGGCAACATGAGAGATTGGCTGGGTAATACAAAAAAATTGACAATATGACGATAAGTGCGCTATCAGCACTGGAATCGTAAAATGTTACTTTCAGGCCAGATGCCGTCTGTACGTTTGGGACGGAGAACGGTTAAGCGAACAAGGTTGGAAATGCGATACTCGATACCACATACCATTGAGCATTATTTAACTGAATGAGCAATTGACGATGTGTTCCCATAAAACAGTGTTATTTGCGTTACAAAACATTTCGGAATTATAAGTTGGGCCATTTAAAGAAGCGCGTTGAATGATTGCGAAATGTCGAAGGGAAACTGTCGTTTGTATTGCTCTAAGAAATCGGCACATTTTCTACCGGAACTATTAACGCTAATTACACCGACCCAAATCACTGCTCAAGTTCGCAACACAAATCCATAAGAAGTTGTGCAGTGAAACAAGACATTTGATGGAATTCCTCTCTATTTTGTGATAAATCTCTGGCATGCGAGCAATCATAGTCTAATAATAACCGAAAATGTTACATTAATCAAAGGCTAGCAATATACTCTCATTGCAATTCTCTCTTGCAAATCAGTTTGTTGCATACTACAACCTACTCATGAAATGACTTGTCTACTAATTTCTCAAATGACATAAATCAACAACTGCGCAACAGAAATTCAGAAAATATTCTTCGCGGAAACGAATTATGTATCGAGCCAACGATAAATCAATCCGGCTTCCGTTCAGTAATGGCGTATTTTTTCGATCGAATTTAAAATATGACATATGAGAATGACGAATTACACAATAAATTCAATCTGAAGCCAAACGAACTCCCCACTGACTGAGTGCTCCAGGTCCTTTAACAAATTGAGCAATTATACTCTAAAGAAAAAAAATGCGAACAATAAAATGACAAATGGCTAACCGTTAGGCATCGTTGGCAACGTTTATTGGAAAGATTGGACATTCGGGATGCTCAGTGGTTGGAGTGATAACTAAAGATACCGATCACAGAAATAAATGAAATCGAGACTGAGAATGATGGATGGCGACGATGGGTTGACGTTGGCAGGATGGATGGATGGATAGTAATGATGATACGGGTATTGGGTGTTACATTACTGTTCGTGGAAATGCGTTGGGAATGGGAGTAGCGATACTGCATGCACGAGCGATTTATATTAATGGTGTGTTTGTGCAGAGAGATGATGATAGATGAAATTGGATATCGTTCTGGTAAGGGGATATCATAGCAGCACCACTCAGCCAGCACTGGCTCTGCTCTGGTCGGTGAGCATGACTACGACTTCGGTTACGACCATCGATGACATTCTTGTACATTCAGCGCGTATCCAATATCACTGAAACATTATCACATCGCGATGTTTCGATGAATACAAATATTTGATGATCACTTTTAGAAACATTGAACTCAACAAAATTGTGGCCATGAAATACGAGAGAAATATTATAGCAAAGTCATCAATCATTTCCAATAAACATTGCGAAATGAAAGAAGAATTCCCCCATTAAGTGCCACTTATTCATCACCACACACAACAACTCATCGAAATCGCATCGCATCGCAAAGTTCTTTTTATGAGCATTCAGACAATATTGAGAAAGCCATGAAACAATAAACAATTATTTAACACCATAATATATCACTCCTCCTTAAGTGAAACCACCCTAAACGAAAAAAGAAAGTTTGTTTCGTACTGTCTCGAAACTGAGCCCGTCTCAAATTACTCGCTATTTTCCAAGTTTTCTTACTAACAACAACGTAATTTAACAATAGCTTTCTACTAACACAGAATCGAAAACACGCCCTCCATGTATTTCAAATCCTCCGGATAACATATGCACAATGAAATACTACTAGCAAGTCCATTGCAAACTCCTATCGTACACTTCCTACATCATCTGTTTACATCGGCTTTTCGCGCGAGCCACGACCCACTGACATATATCTCCTTCGCACTCAAAAAGGTCCCTTATCGAAGAAAAATTCACACGTTCCAATGCATTTTTTTCTTAAATGTTCATTCTTTGGCCAAAAATAAGCTTGAAACACTTTTGCAGACCGACTTGAATGAAATTACCTGCAAACTTTACTATTTGGTGATCTCAACTGGTTGTGTTTTGCTTTCTCAATCATGAATAATCTCTGGGAAACTACATCTCCACCTCAATACATTTGAACTCTTCAGTAGATACTTTTGAAAAAAAAAACCTTATTAAAGGAATGTCCCCACGAGCACTACTAGATCAAGGAAACATAATGCATGGGAACGTCATTTTATGTGTGAGTTGTCATCATAGAAGACATCACAAGTAAGCATCGCTTTTTTCATCCATGCCACACAGTCAATGATGTTTTCGCTTCGGGCAATAAAAATTGACTGCATTGTGAAGAGAGCAGATAACTTGAGGTGTGCTATTTGCTCAGAGAGCATACGACCGCCTGAAGCAAAAGGTCACCTTCCAAAAGTGTTTATCAGGAATATACCGAATTGATAAAAGGAAATCAGCTCATCCATCTGCTGTTGATTGGCAGAAAACTTTTCATTATCAAAATCATTGTCAAAACAAACTGTAATAAGATATGAGACGTGATTTTGAGTGTTTTAACTCGGAATTACAAGAAGACAACTCTTTTTGCAGTTGTTGTTCAGAGCAATCGTCTCGGTTATTTACGACACCAGAAACTAACGTTGCCTCTCTATTATTTGTTTGTAAACACAGCGATCGTATTACTTCCTTTAATCCTATGCAAAGCATAAGATCACTGAAGGGGCTGATGTTTATTGTGTATTCAAAATACCGTGTCCTGATCAGATGTGAATCGACCCCAGCAGAATTTCGATCATAAATGGGTGATCTAACGATCATCCGCAACTAATCCCGCTCAAGTCACGAGGATTTCCTCTAGACAGAACTCTATTTCCCTAATAAGGACACATAAACCGAATCGCTCAAACTCGATGTTCTATTGTGCAAGCTTTTGGGCAATCAGCACACCAGCAAACATTACGTACCGTGATGTTTTGGTGCTACTGACAAGTGAGAGAAATTTTCATTATAACAGTTCGCAATGGTGATGGAATCGCTGGATTTTCAATCGATGATTTACTAATACAAAACTCGCTGATTGCTAACGATGCGCCATCGTGGCTCATTAGAGCAAAAGTCGCTTGGGATGATGTGGAAGCATAAGTGCATGGAGAATCGACGAAATCAATGATGATGCACAGTATTCGACGAAACGGCTAATTCAATTCGTTTGTTCGTCAACTGGGTGAATGCAAAATAAGCGATGTTCTAGAATCGAAGTTAGCAGTTAGAATCGATACTGGCTAGGTTGTTATTGATGTGGTTTTCGATGTGGCTCTCTAGTTCATTCGTTCTTCGTTCGTCGGACATCTGCACAACCAACTGACTGACTAAATCAGCACAATACTACACGGCCAACGGAAAGAATTATTTGATGCCATCAACTATATCCGCTTCAATGCACTTCACTTCTTCATTCCTTCAATTTCCATAAAACACTTTAAAATTCTGAAATGATCAATCCATCTGCGACATAAGCCGTAAATACGCACAGGTCCATATTTCTGGCAGTTGATCTCTTTGCTATGTCCTAGTAATCTTGCTCCTCACTGATTTATTCGAATGATATTTGCCGCCTCGTCAGTTATTTGTATTTTTTCATATTTCTAATTCATCTTTCCAGTGAACTGTCTATCGAAAGCAAGCAAGGAATCAGTCACTTTCTTTGATTAATTGACTCATCGCATTTTCACTCAAGTTTTAAAGCCAACTAATTATTTGTTTAGAGAAAAAGCAATTTCTTTTTTTATTCCTATTTTGCTTCGCGAAGTTCATTTGGTGAAATTGCCCCATTACCACGAGTGCTACGAGAAAATGTTTATATTCGCAAACACATTGCGAAGGATACGTTTGTGTTCAGCGATGAACACTCTTCCCATAAAAAATCACACATCATCTCTCGTGCGAGTGAGTGGAGGTTGTATTCCTCAGTGGTTCGCGTTACTTTTTCGGTCATGGAACAGTAAACAGGCCGAGATTCCGTAGTAGAATGGAGGCGTTGTCTTAAAAATAGTCGAGCTGAAAGCAGAAACTGGAACGACTCTGGGGTACTGACTGAATGAATAGTGTTGCGTTTGGAAATGGTCTTGTTGTTAGAGAATCGACAGAATATAGCCTGAATAGTGTTACTGAATAGTGTCACGAAATAGTCTTGCGAATAGTGTTACGGGCAATGAATGGTGAGGGGAAATTATTTCTGATTTCGTTTTGAAATTAGCCATTCTCAGGCAATTCATTGTAACGATTTAGTGATGTGAGGTGGGCGCAATGCCATTAAGGCAGAGTTAATGGGCCTGCCATCGTCATCTTTGTATAACGAATGCTCAGAGAATTATGTAGATTGCGACAGATGCGCTCGATTCCAGAACTTCCTATCGCTGGTTATCCATACACTTTGATTGCATGCAAGATGAAGAAATTGATCTGGTATTCAGTATCAATTTTCATCCTTTATGGCGCCTCATCGTCAGTGATTCTTATTGTGTGCTGATGTTAGGCCGTAAATAAGGTTTCTAAACAATTTTGTAATTATTTGTCAGACTTCAGCTCCTTGGTAACATTTGCTTCATCGTTTATTCAATGAACGGAATCCATTAATAACACATTAGCCATTTACTACTTAGGCACTCCAAATGCTTCATTCAATATGTATATCATCCATTAGAAGAACTTCTCGTTATCAAGTAGTTCTTATTGAACTTTTGCGTAGAGATAACACCATAAGCATCTTATGCATGCTCGTGACAGGACACATTGAACGATTGCCATTTTAGCAACTCTTAAATCACAGACTATGGTAACGTACTTGCTCTAAGAGTGCTTGCAATCGACAGCCGCGAACGAACTGATTGCAGTGAAAAGAGCGCCTAAGGTAGAATGTTCGAATTGTGGGCGAATGACTGCCTTATTATCATCGTTAGTTAACTCAATTGAGAAAATTTATTGCTTTAAAAACCTTTGGAAACATACGAAAAATCAATTTGCTTGTGCGAAACTTTCATTCCGACAGATGTTCAAAAGAAGAACAACACCACCATCGTTCGAGCGAAATCGAAATGTTTTCGTCTTCAGCATCGGATTAAAAAACTGAAAATTAATTCACAAATGAAATTAGCCATGTTCTGTGCACGTCTTTTTAATAGTGCATTTGTGATTATTCTATTGAATCATAATCGTCTATCTTTATATAGTTTTCGAAATGTTCACGATACTAATTGTAAGACGGATCCATTCCGGCTTTCTGTGAACGAGTCCATATGGCTTTTCTTTGCATGCTCTTTATGAATTCCGCAAGATCTGTTGTGACATTTATGATAAAAACAATAACAACAGTGCTGGTAATAATATCGATAATAATAGTAACAATAATAATAATAATAAGTTTATGACCTTTCCTTGTTAATAGCTGAGTTCCAACTAAGTTGTCGATAATGAAACGAAGCATATACGATGGTTTTGCAGCAGTGTCATCATTGTTTTCTAGGTTTTGCTAAAGAGCTGAACCTTCTATAAGATGGTGTGAAGTGACATATTTTTCACGAACAATCAGTGTGTTTATCGACTGAACGGAATATTCATGAAAGGATCGTTGTCTGCGCTCAACAAGTGATCTAAATGAAATGGACTCGGCACATGCATACAAACTGCTCAGCACCGTGATCGATAACCCAGTTTTTTGAGATCAGCTGAGAATGAGCTTCATTCAGAAGCGTTCATCCGTGATTGTCGTTCTGATTCAATGCATTATACTGCACAACTCAAACGCACTTGCGTTCAGCAGCGAATCACTTCAACGAAACGAAGTGTCAAGTGCAAAATATTACACAAAAAATTGCACACCAGATGCGTCTGTCCTTTCGAAACTCATCGATGGCTCTCAGTACAACAAGCATCGAATACCAGGTTGCATTCCTCCTTATCAACTTGCCCAACTTCTTCTCTGCGGAACTATTAGAAGCATTCACAATGACCAGGTCTCCATCAAAACGAAGAGATCAAAACTTGCGAACATCTTGGAAGTGGAGCAAATTGCGCTTCGAAACGAAACTCCAGACTCAACGAAGTTTCCAGTTCAAATTGCGCGATTCGCATCGACGACTTATTATATGCAATTAAGCTGTGATAAAGAATGTTTGATTATGATACATTTCAGGCACAAAAGGTGGAGTGCCAATCAGTGTCGAGTTTTGGATTCAAGACATTTCGTCAATTTCAGAAAGGACAAATGATTTCGTGGTAAAGACATATATATCATCTCAACATTCAGATTCAAATGACTCGGCCTAGGTCGCTCAAAAACTTTCCAGCAGATGAGAGCAAAGGGAAGTGGCTGATAGAATTGATAGCAGCTATCCAAGAAATGCTTGTCATCACTGATGTGAAGCGCGATCTAGCGTAATTGACAACACTTTCACGCGAACATTTGTCACAATGAAGATATTTTTCCAAAGTTTTGAAATTTTTCGTCATTTACTTAGAACTATTATCGGTTCTGTTCTTTGGTTGCTTTCCGAAATGTGAAGCGATGAAATATGATCGACGAAATGAAAGTGTTTTTTCCCGCATTTTCATAACACAAGATTTCGAGACTCGCTCGTTGTGTGTGCTCGGATCGATATGTGTTATTGGATAAACGAGAAGAGTAGGTTTGCAGTGAGTGATGAGTGCATGGATTTGTTTATCTTCACTTGGCAAACGCGAAAATGAACGAATTTAGAGCCTTTTGAGAGTTGAAGGATAGCTGCAGTCGAGAAGTCAACTGTGTAGTGGCACTTCAAATGAATGACTTTGAGATAGATGTACATGATAAATGATGAAATCTATTTTGAGAGAAAAAAAAAACAAGCATTTAGAATTTAAATACTTTTTTTCAGAGATTTAAATACTTTTTTTTAGCAATTCATTCGATAGACCAGAAACATTAACTTTTGAGGGTTTGAGGAGTCCACTTGCTGTTTGTATGAATTCAACGAATCCGTAATTCTTCGACTTTTTGTATCCTCACTGAATTTTGAAATCATCTTGAAATGACATTTTCACAAATGGTGTCATTCATTGGTTTATTGCTTTCATTGATATTTTCATTCGAATCAGCGTTGGCTGTTACGATCGAAAGAAGACAAAATACACTCATTCAGTGAAGGGTATTCGTCATAATCTGCGAAGATTTACTTTAAGAAATACTAATCGTAAAAACAACGGCATCTGTTACTCTGGAGATTTGACCGAAACTTGATAAGTATCGGCCAAAATTTAAGCTTTTAAACTGCACTATTGGAAAAGGAAAACATTGAAATGGCGAAATTGGAAACTATGCAATAAATCGATTTGTATTTCATATGGACTTATACGTGAATGAGATTTGGCACGACTCAAAGCTAGCGTTTGGTCATTTATCACCGTGTAAAGCGAATTTAACGTTGAACGAGGCGGTTTTGTCACGTCTGTGGACACCGAATAGCTGTTTCGTGAATTCAAAAATAGCCGACATTCACGACTCACCTTCACGCAATATTTACCTCACACTTTTCTCAAATGGTACCGTTTGGGTGAACTATGTGAGTGATTTTAGGTGATTCATTCAACATGTTCATTGCAAACTTGTTAACACCACTAATGCCCAGTCTATAGCAGTGGTTCTCATAGGGGGTGAAATTATTCATTTTGGAGATGTCAAGGGATAACGGAGGGGGTCGAGAAATTAGTATTTCGTGCAGTAGTTATGTTTTGATTGAACGCCTTTGTTAAGGTGTTTTTTGACTTGGGTAAACTCCTCATTCTCCCATTTTCTGAGTATCATTAGCTCGTCCTGACCTAACACGGTTCATTGTTTCCTGTTTTAACAGGATTTTCATTCTTTTCCTTGCTGTTATAATCGCTCTCATAGCTTTTATCACCAAAAGTGTTCTCTACTGCTATTTTCTCATTCATTTCACTCAACAATTAAAGTCAAATTCTCATTCTATTAAATACACTCTATAATTGATCACTTGACTGTCGAACGTTGTTGTGCAATAGTATTCGAGTGTTGTATTGTTGATTTCGGCTGTCAACACTCGTCAACGTAATCAGTAAATAGTATATGCTACTGAATGAGAAATTGGTTCGAACTGTGAAATGAAATGAGACGAAATGAATGAGAAAAACTCATCAAGAGAACGGTATTCACATGCAATAGCTATGAGAGTGAATAGAACACGTCTGAAAAGAATGAGAATCCATCCGAATTAGTATGAAGTGAGCGTGTCATAGACAATAGCTTTTCATGCAATCATAATCAGTTGCAATAATGAGCAACACAACGGTCTAGAACAGTATTTCCCATAGGTAATGAAATTACTCGTTTCCGGTAATTTGGGGGTGTCGGGGGGGGAGGGGGGATAACGTCGGCCTGCCAGAACACCAAAAGGGGTAATGGAGCACTCGAACGTGAGAACTACAGGTCTGTAGCATTTCATGTCCACTAAGGGACGAAAAAAATGGTTAAGCATGCCTGACGAAAGCGGTAGATTTGTTTGGGGAAAAATAATGGAAGAAATTCGTGATGAAGCGAGGGAAGAATACTATTGAATATTGCAAGGTGCGGTTGCATAGTTGACTGACTCTGAACGTTTACAATCTAAATGAACTATCGTATTAGTCGGAGCAACTTTCTGTTCGTGTGCTTCTTTCAAATATTTACCTACTTTGAATTTGAAAGTACCGAAAGCGTTGAGAATTTACACTCGTGGTGATATTTATAAATGAGTCAGATTGCTTTCAGAGGGTTCGAGTGAAAGGACCGTGCTCAATGGATTTATCCAACTTCCCAATGGACACGCAAACATGCTTGCTGATCTACGAAAGGTTTTCCATCAGAATCTGTTAAGAGAATCACCCACTTGAATGAGAGATTTCGAAAATAAAATTCCCGACAACAAGTTAGATGAAACGTAATGGTACTGAGTGGTACGTAATCTCATTTCTTACTGTGAACTCCTCACATTCACACTTATTGATCCACTATAAGCAGTAATCAGATAATCGTTATTCAAGTTCTGACATCTAACGAATCGTTTCGCACATTGCAGTTCACTTGAGATTGTTTAGTTTCAACTACAATAATCAAGAAGTTCGTATGCGATGGAATACAGATCGTCCTGATCCCGTCTATATGTTACGTCCAATCAATCTACCGGATTTTGATATCCAAAAAATTGACCCCGTTCTCGTCAGAGTGGTAAGTTGTTACAGCGTTCCTCTTTTAATCGACACTCCTTTTCAGACCTATAAATGAGGATTTACCTGTAACTATAAATCAGATTGGATGCAGTCATGAACTATTACCGGAAAATAAATTCTTGAACATTTTATGTGGTCAGGTTCGGACGGTTTACCTCATCTCACAAGTTGAGTTCAGGTTTACGCAGCCGGAATGTGGGATGAACTTCAAGTGCGCTTCACGTTCAAGCGAAGATATGTGTGGTATTTTCTGCAGTCATATGTGCCTACTTATCTTACGATATTCATCAGGTGTGTCCATTATCCACAACCAAATTCAATATGCCAAAAACCTGCCTTAAATCTTATCTTAATTGACGCAATGCTTCATCTTGAATATTATTCTTCCGTGAAATTCCTCGATTCAGTTTTTTTCCTGCATTTTATCATCGAACAAATTTGCTTTGGACAGTTTATAATCGTAACGATGTATCATCAACGATGCATGTTATTGATTTACAACTCTCTAAAAGTTTTGTATTCGTTTGCTGGAATAAATCAAACGAACTACTCGAAGACTAATAATGAATAATTCTACAGCTGGATCGCATTCTCACTGGGACCTAGCCCAAAGGCAATACAAGCGAGGACAATGCTTGGTGTGAATGCGCTACTTGCAATTATCATGCAGTTTGGCAGTACACTACGAAAACTGCCGAGAGTATCTTATGTGAAAGCAATTGGTTAGCACCGTCAAATAACGTTCTGTCCTCTTTCATCAAATAATCTTTAATGTTCGAGTGTTTGAAGCTTCCAATTCAACATCTGATCGGCCAAACGTTTACTGTTTATTCAAAACACATCTCGATTTTGTGGGGATGCAGTGAAGTCAAATGTACTTCTATGCTTACGGAAATAGTCAGATGAATAGTGAAGAGTTGGTAAAACAATCAATGAGAATGGGAGTAATTTCAGATGTTTGGTTACTCGGTTCGATGACATTTATTTTCTTGAGTCTGGTCGAATTAGCGATAGTGGGTTTGATGATGCGTAATGACACGAGTAAACCCACAACACCTGCCACCGCATCATCATCCAGTGCGACCATACGCAAATCAAGTGGATGTTTTTTTTGTTCGGGCACTCACAATGATCCAATACTGATGGTACGACATATCGATAGCTGTGCCAAGATACTGTTTCCAGCTGTTTATAGCTTATTCAATGTATGTTTACTTCATTTATTCAATTTTTTGTGATCATTTTTGAACGTCTCAGTCGAGTGTTCCATTGGATGATTGATTTCGATTCGAAAGAGTGATAAATGAAACTCACTGAAATTACCGATAACATCTACATGGTCAACAGATACAACGAGCATATTTGGAACTGAATCGTTTTTATTTCCTTCTTTTTTCTGCCTTTTTATCAGCACGATTCTCTAATTAGTTCGAGTGAATCAGCATTTTAAGTGATGACGAGGAAGTCGTTGAATCGAATAAACTTCCGGCATTGATAGATTCATTGAACGATTCACTCAGAACATTTGTAATCTTCTGACTGAAGTCGTATCGAAATACGTGATTTTTTTTAGATAACTTATTGGACTTACTATTGGATTCGTACTGAATGATTATTCGATGGAAGCTGTCACCATTTCGTTACATTCTACTAGTAAAGAACTTTGCTCATTTCAAAGCTTATCAAATCATTGTCCAAAATTTTTCTATGTATTGATCCATTTGATCTCCTCCAGTGGCTTCATCGTCTTTGTAATTAATTATGTATGCACTGTGAGGACTGACTCGTTATTTGTATGACTTTTATTGCTTTTTCCGTAGTGTTCTGGCAGATGTTGATAAATACATATGAGATTTTCAATATGAAACATAGAAATAATAAACAATTCATAAACACTGAGCAATCCTCAATCTAAATTCATCACATCGTACGTTCATTAATCACTCATTCAAACAACTTTATACACATAAAAAACACGAGTAATTCTAGCTCAGAAACAACGGTGACAAGGCGTTTCGATAGGGGCGTGATTCAACAAACTTGGCGAACTCATCAGCTGTGACCCATTTGTATTCACAGATTTCTTTGGTATTCACCTCGAAGTGGCTCTGAGGTGATATCAGCGCATTGAAGAAGAACACCTGAAATAGCATACTTAAACAACTGAATTCCTTACACGATGATGAAATGCTCAGAAAAGTCGAATATCGAACTCAAATAACGCGAAATGATTTCATGGGTATGCATACCAACAAGTTTAAAATAGATAAGCGTACAAGGTAAAACAGAGATATGTGTCGAACACTCTGAATGAAATAAAATAAAATATTCCGCGTACTGCAAGATCATTCAAAAGAAAAATGATATTTCAGCGATACAATAAGATGTAACATAAACTTAACCAACACACACTCATACTGAGCAGCAACAACTAACTGTTCACTAAGCAGGAAATAAATAAGTAAACTGATGAATAATCACAAACTTTTGCTCCAACAGATTCACTATCAGTGTTTTGCCTCAAACCCGATGGATAACGATACGTGTACATTGAAAATGGTGCATTACCTAACACGACGGCTTGAACAGTTCCTTCGGTTATGTCACTAATACACCGTTCCACAGTCTGCAAAACATATCTTTTCTGGAATCTCCAAAAACAGAATAGTTGATTTGGTCATTGGATAACGACAAAACACTGCAGCAAAAATGTTCACTACATGAAAAACGAAACTTATTCACATACCTGCTTGAGATTTTCATCTGTACGATTGGCGCTTTGTGGTAGAATCCACGGCGAAGAATAGTTGTCCTTACGGTTGAATTTTTGTTTGACAATCAAACACAGCTTCTCGGTTAGTTTTCGCCTCAACGAAGTCTCCACATTTTCTTCTACCTCAATTGAAATCAAACAGTTAAACACTATCATCATAAGAAGATACGCCTCACCGCATAATAATAATAATAATAATAATTTGCGATGAGATGCATCAATTGATCTCAAACTCACTCATGTATGTGAAATTGAGATTTAGAAAATTAGAAAAAGAAAATACGTTAGATACGTTTATAGAAAATTTGACCATAAACATAAATCTTTGCAATGAATGACAATAAAATTGAATGAATAGTACAGTGACATTACTGTAATAAAGCACACTTATTTCCTTATCTAATTATATGAAGTTTTTAAAGAGTATAAGAAAGACAGCATTACCTTACTGATGTCACCGATCGCGAACTGTTTTTTCAAAATTTCGGCTTTCCAAGACCAATCATCCTGTAATGATTCGGCCGTCACCCCAATCTGCTCGTCAAGAGCACTCAACTCTTTGCCTTCTGCTTCTAACTGCGCTCGTTTCGCAAGAAGCCTGTAATCAGAGAAACATTTCCCATCGATACTACGAATCTATGCCACTTAATTCGTCAACAACCAAACAGACTAGTGACAAGGAGGATCCTCCTGATTCGATTGAGTATGAAGATTCGAAAGAGGATAGATGAAAGCTGAATTCACTCACTTAGAGTCCTTAATTTGCTTTAGTTCGAAATCACACTTCAATGACGATTCCTCCTCGACACGTTGCAATACATCTGCATAAGTTTTCTCGACTTCTGTCATTGACGGTGCGATCAGAGGCTGCCTTATCAATGCCACACCAGCGAATATATCCCACTGTGTTGATTCTGAGGCATTCGTTGCCTTCAAGCCAATGCGCTGCTGTGATGCTACAGCATAAAAACGACGAATCACTCGCACAATACCACTTCCACTTGAACAAACCCTGCCGGGCATTGTACTGCAATAACGAGATACTGTACGGATTAGGAACAATAGTAAATGAAATGTGTCGCAAATGACCGTCTCCTGTTTTTCCAAGTCCTCGGCTCACTTATTCGAAATACGGAGAGCAATCCCACCTGGGACCTTTTAGCGAGGTTTGAGCAATTAGCTTGGAAATAAATAATACCACTCCAAGATTAGTTGTGAATCAAAATGCAGTCATGATGATGTGCCACGACAAGACGAAATTGCCAATACTCTACAGTGCATTGCGATGAAATGTGAAACACCGCGTTTTTCGAATACAAATCGCAATGTGAGTCGATGAACTCCTCAACTTCTAAAGACTCCGAAGCACCAAAATAATTTGAAATACCGTAACTAGATCTGGCAAGCATGATGCGAGCACGTAGTGCATACAATATGTGTGAAGTGGGCTTACATAATTTTAAAAAGATTAGAACGTACTCTAGTGGTAACACTTATTTACACTACACACTTTCACTGCAGTGGATAAAAGATACCGAGGACGTCGTAGTCATTGTTGTAGGGGTGTGAAGATAACTTAAAATTTTTTGGGACGTGCAGGAAGGACAAAATGTTGAGAACCACTGCTGTGCATGAAAAAAAGTAGCACGCTATCGAAAAACAAAGCTCTGCTAGCCTCGAAATAGAGAACAGATTGCCCACCACAGCCATTTTTTCAATAATCCTCACTCAGCGATAGTTCCGTGTTTTCGAAAATTGAATTAAGAGGTGAAATTTTCCCACCTGGGAAATATTACTGAGAAATCTCCGATGGGAATGATTTTTTCTTGTGTTGACCACGCTCGAATGCATTCAGTATGATCAAATTTTCCACGAAGGAATTTCCGTTGCCCTAACAATGAGTGTACCGTTGTTCTTACATCTGAATGCGGTTCTCATCACGGAACTGTCAACTTTCACTCAGCTTCAATCATTATTCAGTGTACTATTTTCCCATAAACAATCTCACGAACACTTTTAAAATCAATTGCAGCCCAAAAATCAAATCCGATTACTCAACCACTTGATAAGAGAAAAACCTTTCTTGCTGTTGATATCACTCTTATTGTTAGGTATGTTCATGATTATGATCATCAGATTATGATCATTAGAATTTTCTTCATTTTCTATTCGCATTCTCAGATTGAAGTTGTAAAAATGAAGATAAAAATAATAAAGCTTAATCGCTTTCAATCCCACCCAGCAATGTGCACTGCATGATACTTATGCGGTTTGCATTCAGTTGATAGCATTCATTTGAATAAGGTTCGCAAGCACGTTGCCGTCTGCCATGCTCAGATATCAGTGTTTTTATGAGGTTCGATGAGGTGAACGTTTGTGATATGACCGCTCGAAGTTGATGGTAGTGAACGAAAAAAAATTGGATATAATGAATAATGAGTGAGCAGTTTGATTTTTCGAAGGAACTGGAAAAATAGGATGATCCACGCCATTTAAGAATGTTCTTAATTCGATTCGATAAGAATGATTTGATGATTGGTAGTCGATTGGAGGAATTTCGGACACAACTCAGCTTCGGCACAGTTTGAAGATTTACAAAAGAGCCAAATCGGCAGTTGAACAGATACCGCACACTTCCAGCTTATCGCGAGCGAACTGCGGTCATCAATACCCAAAATTAGCTCATTTTTTGGAGTTGAGAGGAACGAAATGGTTGAGTCGAATCAAATAATTTGGCGCTGGATGATTCGTGAGTGTTGTTGTGTAATGAACGTTGACAATCATGCTAATTGGTGACTTGGTGAGTGCTGAAATTTGGTTTGCAGCAAATAATGAAAGCAATCATTGGAATTGCAAATTTCTTCCTGATCACGGTTCCGCTCGTGCCGTATGTGCTGATTTTAGTGGTGAGTTATCGCATTGCCTTCTTCATATTTTCAATTCGCTCATACAGTGACAAGTTGACTTTGATTGACATAATTCATATAGTGGCAGCACATAATTAATTGAAAGAGAAGAAGTAGAGAAGTTAGTTAATTCGAGTGAAGTTCAAGCACAAAACAAAGTTGTAGGAAATCTCAACTAGCGAGAATTCTTTGAAAATAGCCAAATCAATCAAGTTTTGTGTTTTAGGATATTGGAAATGCCACTGTTTGTAATCGAGAATGATTCAGCACTCAGCTCGTTCGTTCCTTTTCAGGTGCTGTACCGGGATGGTTCTTTATCGGAGTCCTATGTTATTATGTTTCATTTGGGCATTGCTGACGTATTTCAGTTAACCACGCAATACATTACAGTTATTGATTCGTTCGCCAACGAACACACTTCCCATAGGCCAATAAACAAGGTTATTTTTTACGCTTGTCACATGTCACTGATCACCATTCGAAGTAATACTATAGGTGTGCGGTGCCCTTCTGAACGCAGGTTGGACTTCTGGTGTAATGTTCATGCTCCTGTTGGCTCTGAATCGATTTGCAACAATTACTCGTAATCGACGCATGCAACGATTATTCTCCGACAAAAGTCTTCGTGTAAGCGAGAATGTGTTCACAATGACCGATCAAAATAATCAACGAAAAAAATTGTCGTCTAATTAACGACATCTTGCAAAAAGCATAGAAGAAATGGAGAGTACATTGATTCCATCAAAATATCTTCACGAATAACAAATAAACTCACTGAGAAAAACACGGAATTAGCTGATTTCAGTATTTTAATTAAAAGCGATCGTTTTTGATTCTAAGTGGGTGATTATTCTTCAAATAACATTACTTCTTACAGATTTATTTTCTAGTTTTGTATCGCTCTGTGTTGGGTTGTTGGATTATTCTATCTTGGAATGTTTCTGTTGCCATACGGTAGTTTCACTTACGATCCTATTCACTGTACCTGGTTTTTCTCAGGACATCATCAGATCGAATCGATTCTGCGGTAGATTTTGTTCGGTTGTTGTGATCCTTGCTTAAGGTAAGGTCGCAGGTTTTAGGCGGAAACTTGGGCAATCTCAAACAGGGAGGATACGAATTAAATGAGCACATTACTGCAGTGTAGAGATTGAATGTTTTTCCTAGAGCTGTCAACGGTTTATTGGAGCAGTGGATGCAGAAAACATTTGTTGTCAGTTTGATATATTCAAATTTGATTGTAAGATGCGTTAACACATGCAATTTGAGCCGTTCTTTGGTAAGTTTCAGCACAGTGGAGAGGACTATTGAGACGATCTGCATATCATCCACACCGATTGTTTATGTAATCATTATCTTCTGCTTGGTGTTCGCACCGCGCATGGCTCAAACTCACCCGCAAACTACCATACAGGTGAGTTGAACTAGTTGAGATAATGAACACGTCGTTACTTGTTCTGAATAGAAGATTATATAACGTGTTGCTAGACATTCCCAAGATGTATACAGTAAATCATTATCTGCGAATTTTTCAGTCGAAGAACTGTTCAGGCTGTAAAACTTGTCCGGATGATGAAGCTAATGTTTCATAGTTGCTCGAACAAATACGCCATGCACTCACTTTAATCTTCATATTTGCGCATAAGAACATTTATTTGGTTGATTATATTTTAAAGAAAATTCATTATATTTTATATTTTGTCTGATTCATTATATTATATTGTCTGGTTCACATATTATATTGTCGTTCATTATATTTTGTCTGGTTCACATTGTTCTTATGAAGTTATGGGAAAATAATAATCAGACCAATAAATATAGTGTGAATTATGGATTTCGTCACCAGGTTACGTTCTCACATCGCGAAGATAAAAGCAAAGTAAAAACGCAATGTTCTCATGGGTTGTCAGAACAAGACTGAACATTTGGTGGGTGATTTGGAATGAGTATTTCCCAGATGAGCTTCATCAACTATGCTTGTTGATTGAATAACGCAGATGCTGACACCCTAGTTCGTGTCGTTTAAAAACAAGCATGAACAACATTTCCGTTGGCGTAGTGAATTCTGTTTCCGTACTTCTTCTTCTATTTTCAGGTACCAAAAATACAGAAACGAGAACTTCAGATATTGATCCAGGTTCGTTTCGAGGAAATTTAAAATATTTGATGAAATCATTGGACGGGGCTGGTGAATTCAGATTAAGATGCAGTCATATAGTGGGTTTCTTCATTTTTATTCGTTCATTCAATGTGCCATGGAGTACCTACCTCATCGACTTCGATTCTTCCCTAATCGTAAGCATTACTAGGGTCAAAAATGGCCATTCAATAAACGCAGCATGCTAAATGAACATAGTTGGCAACTCACTTTGCGACATTCAATTCATTTGAGCATATTACTTCAGGCAATTGTCATTTCTGGTACAGCAATAGTAATGATATCGTGTTGGAATTTTTTCTTACCTGTATTTCCAAACACGTGGGTCATTAATTACATTTCTAATGCTTTGTGGATTATCAACAGTGGTATTAATCCGGCAGTCTACTTAACAGTTAACAGGTGATTATCTTTCACGATAGATCACATGAATTCGAAGGTTTTTATTTTGACTGCATATTTTGTTTTGGTCATTTTCGGATCTGATTTGTAACATCTGAAAGAATGTACAACTGTTCAAGCAACAATATCTCACCACTGAAAATCAATCCGATTGGAATTACAGAACAATGAGATGCAAGTTCCTTGCTCTTTTGAGAAAGAAGAACACCAGAACCGTTCCTGTCTCGACATCTGCATTGCAAGCAGCGTTGCACCGTCGTCGTGATGTGCGAAAGGTCACGTGTATTTCTAGCCAACTCTGATCAGCTTCGTTTGTTCTCGAGCTAGCGGTGAATCGAACATTGTTCTCACTCAAGCCTATTGATCTCATCGTCTTGTTCGTCATCACTGATGTAAATATTCGCATTTTCAAATGGTTGTAATGTGGTTGTTGTTTTAATAGGTGTTATTTGTGTTGTTGTGATCGGTTGTTTGTTTTATCACATTTCCTTATCGCATTTCCTGTTTATCACATTTATCACAAATACTGAATGAAACTTCATCAATGCATCACAAAA